GGCATGAGCTTCTCGCGGATGAGCTCACGACTCAGGCGGGAGTATAGCTCGGAGCCGGGTACAGACCAGACTGTTCCGGAACTTCAGCGCCTTCTGCTGCCGGTTCGCCAACGTCAATGATAACGGGCTCCCCGGAAGTGACACCGCAGCTGGCGCTACTTTGCAGAGGCCCAGGATAGGGGGCGGCAGTGGTGCCCGGGTCCCCGCTGGCCGTATCGAGACCGAGAGTAGTGCCGACCGGACCAGCACCGCCGGGAGCGGGCCCGCTGCCCGAGGCCATCATGTGGGGCTGCATGATCAAGCCCTGACTGTCGACGCGGATGCCTCTGCCGAGAGGGCCTTGGCCGTCGACGGGTGTGCCATCCGAATTGGAGCTGTTCGCAGGAGAGGACATTGCAGCAAGCAAAGTCTGAGACCCAGCTGGACGTCGCGATTAAGCAATATCGCAATGGGGGAGCCGAGCTCGCCACCCCGGTAGCCGCGCAACCCAAAGATCCAGTCGGCGCGGCAGCTGCCGCTTGAGCTGGGCCGGGTGCAACGCTGCGGCATCATGGGTCCGAAAGAACGGAGGGAACCTCCAACCGTTGGAAGCCTATCAGAAGGGTTCCTCGGGCCGTCGGGACCATCGAACTGAACGGACCCCTCTAGGTTGAAGGCGGTGGCACGCGCCGCCTGCCCTAGAGCCGACTCGCCTCGTATACTCGAGGCATGAAATAAGTTATGCACGGCATGCACCGGCTGCCTTCGTAATGTCGTGCTGATGTTCGCACGTACGTACGAACCGTTTCGCTACGCACGCTGAACAAGGACAGTGAACGCACCACGGATGATACGCACGCGTGCTGCCAGTGCGCCCGGTGTGACGCGCCCTTCGTATCGGTATTTAACCTGTGTTAACTTGTTAACTCGTATAATCGACAACTTGTCGAAATTGAGATCATTCGTTATTTCGACACTTAGTTGTCGTTATTAAGCTCATTTATCGGAGTCGACAATAATTGTCGTAATTAAGTTGTCCATATTCACACATAGTAAGTTGTAACATACTTTCGACAACGTTGTCGAAAAAACGAGTATATTCGACAACTTCTGACCGTTCAAATTTCGACAGTACTTGTCGAAAGTCGCATATGTCGCTGCAAAGCGGCAGTTTAGACAGCTTGTCGTTTTTATTAGCTAAAGTTGTTTTCGACAGTTTGTCGAGGTTGTCGAAAACGGACGCTCCGAGTGCCAGATCAACCTAAAGATACTCCTGTATTTCTACAGGGTGCGTGGGAGTGTGAGCAATCCTGATGGTGGCCATCGGAAGAATACCCGTGTATGACGCGGTTTAGGTTGATCTCACGATTCTCATCGGAGGTAAGGTTGGCCAGCAACATCATCAGGTCTTTGACATCTTCATCGTGTGAATTGAGTATGCTAGGGTTGGATTATTACCCACTCCTACTGTTCCTGTGTTATCGTTGATGATGATGATGTTGATACCAGCATTCTTGTGGCCGAGTTGTTGTCAATTCGTTAAGGGGTGTATCATAGGTTGATTTATTAATCATATATTAATCCCACTTGGTATCATGTCGTATTGAACCACCGAGTATTGGTACGTGTAATCCAATAATTTGAGTATACTC